TGACACTACCGAGCCCTAACACTACCGAGCCCTGACACTACCGAGCCCTGACACTACCGAGCCCTGACACTACCGAGCCCTAACACTACCGAGCCTTGACACTACCGAGCCCTGACACTACCGAGCCCTAACACTACCGAGCCCTGACACTACCGAGCCCTAACACTAATGAGCCCTGACACTACCGAGCCCTGACACTACCGAGCCCTAACACTACCGAGCCCTGACACTACCGAGCCCTCACACTACCGAGCCCTGACACTACCGAGCCCTAACACTAATGAGCCCTGACACTACCGAGCCCTGACACTACCGAGCCCTAACACTACCGAGCCCTGACACTACCGAGCCCTAACACTACCGAGCCCTGACACTACCGAGCCCTGACACTACCGAGGCCTGACACTACCGAGCCCTAACACTAATGAGCCCTGACACTACCGAGCCCTGACACTACCGAGGCCTGACACTACCGAGCCCTAACACTAAAGAGCCCTGACACTACCGAGCCCTGACACTACCGAGCCCTAACACTACCGAGCCCTGACACTACCGAGCCCTAACACTACCGAGCCCTGACACTACCGAGCCCTAACACTAATGAGCCCTGACACTACCGAGCCCTAACACTAATGAGCCCTGACACTACCGAGCCCTGACACTACCGAGCCCTAACACTACCGAGCCCTGACACTACCGAGCCCTAACACTACCGAGCCCTGACACTACCGAGCCCTAACACTACCGAGCCCTAACACTAATGAGCCCTGACACTACCGAGCCCTGACACTACCGAGCCCTAACACTACCGAGCCCTGACACTACCGAGCCCTGACACTACCGAGCCCTAACACTACCGAGCCCTGACACTACCGAGCCCTAACACTACCGAGCCCTGACACTACCGAGCCCTAACACTAATGAGCCCTGACACTACCGAGCCCTCACACTACCGAGGCCTGACACTACCGAGACCTGACACTACCGAGCCCTGACACTACCGAGACCTGACACTACCGAGACCTGACACTACCGAGCCCTGACACTACCCATTCTCTCTCTCAAATTATATATACTGATGGTTCCCTACACCGCACCACGGGTGCAGCTGGAAGTGCAGTTGTCCTGACAATGGGCGATGGCCTATACTTTGAGTGGGGAGTCCGTATAAACAACTGGGCCTCTACCCTTCAGACTGAACTATTTGCCTTGATCCTTGCACTGAAACAAGTCTCAAAACTTGATACATTAATTGTAAGTGACTCCTTATCATCCTTAAATGCTCTCAACTCTTTAAGACATAACTGTAACATGCTCGTGTCCGAAGCTAGACACAAATACAACAAAATTATTAAGGATGGTAACAGAGTCCATTTCATGTGGTCTCCATCTCATGTTGGCCTCCGAATGCATGATAGAGCTGATAAGTTAGCCAAAGAATCTGCCTTTAAAGGAGCCGTTGAGTGTAACCTTGGATTGTCAATGAGCAATCTGAGAGCAGCTGTACACCGAGAACTTCAACAAGATCTTGTAGATCTGAGGCAAAGTGAAATTGACACCAGTAATTCCATCTATCATCATACTATCATGCAAGAGGAGCCACACATCTATGGATCATCCAATAAAATCAGCAGACTTCTAGATGTTACTACTGCTCGGCTTAGACTCGGTTACAAGTATCTCTGGGAATTCTCATTATCTGCTGATGTAGACCTGACCAAATGTAAACTGTGTCAACAAAATTATTCGCACACCCTCCGTCACTATGTGATGGAGTGCGAAAAGATACGTGAATTTAGAGACAATTCTATAACCAATGTTCCAGCGATGTGTCAATATTTCATTCAAAATGATCTGCTACCAGAAATTTTAGCCAAATATCCCCAGTTTGCTAACTGTAGGTAGTAACTAAGTGATTGTAACCTATCCACCGCTGCCCACTGGATAGGGGGCGGTGTGCAGGACAAACATATAAATTTTGACACTAGCTCTCCACATATGTCAGTTGCTTAATTTAGAACCTGTACTTGAGGTCGATCTCGAACCCATTGTTGATGTGATGACTTATATTGAATTTTGTAACTAGCTCATCAAGATTGTAACTTGCTTAGCTAAATGAATTGTGGGGTTCAGTCCCTGAGCCCATTATGTGCCTCTGTAACCCTTTCCACTACCGCCCACAGGATGGGTATGGGGTGCATAATAAATGAACTAAACTAAAAAAAACTGACACTACCGAGCCCTGACACTACCGAGACCTGACACTACCGAGCCCTGACACTAATGAGCTGACACTAACGAGCTCTGACACTAATGAGCCCTGACACTAATGAGCCCTGACACTAATGAGCTCTGACACTAATGAGCCCTGACATTAATGAGCCCTGACACTAATGAGCCCTGACACTAATGAGCTCTGACACTAATGAGCCCTGACATTAATGAGCCCTGACACTAATGAGCCCTGACACTAATGAGACCTGACACTATCGAGCCCTGACACTAACGAGTCCTGAAACTACCGAGCCTTGATTCTACCGAACCCCGATACTACCAAGGACTGATACTAACAAGCACCAGGCACTAACTGTACCCCTGACACTACCGAGACCCAGACACTAAAAGAACACCAAAGAGCAGGGAGAGATACCAGAGGGTCAGGAATGAGTACCTCAGAGTGAGGAGAGAAGCAGAGAGACAGTATGACAATGACATCGCGATTAAAGCCAAGACCCAACCAAAACTGCTACACAGCCATATCAGGAGGAAAACACCAGTGATGTAATGTTTTGTGATGAAACTGAGAAAAGGGAAACACAGATACACAGAGAATGACAAGGAGGTGAGTGTGAAGAACTTGTACGTTTATGTTACGTTGTTTGCTAGATGAGATACACAGTGTTTAGTGGGTTTCATATTTATTTAGTAGTCTTAGATACAGCAGTGTCGTAGACATTAAGACGGAGCTTGGAGCGGAGCAGAGAGCTCAGTGAGGCCGGAGTCGCGGGGCTCTATGTAGGAGAGCGTGGCGGCTCGATGGGGAACCATGTCTAAACTCGATGGGGAGCGAGAGCGTCGTAGCTCGATGCGGTCCTAGTCTGCTGTCTTCTCTGTGTCGAAGCTGTAGCGTCTTGGGGTCGATTAGAACTGCATACACCGAGTGCTACATTCTTGGCTGTGGAAATTTGTACTGTTGGCTATTCACTTCAAGCTTGCTACACCTCAGCTTCCTCCAACAGGATGAAAAGAGTGTTATCTGTAATTAGGGAAAGGATTTGAGTAGTCATAAGTAGTGCTAATTACTTTGTCATTAAGGTAATGAAAGATTGGAGCGAGTATAAGGTTTACTCGCTACAGACTCAACAAGAGATTCTAGGAGGTCTTCACAATAGAGCAAGGAGAAGCCCCTGTACTAAGAGAGGAGGCGGCAAACCAAGCAACCTTGGATGAGTTTGAGCCCACCAGTGATGAGGTCAAAAGGAATCTGTTGGAACTGAATGTGACAAAGGCTGTTGGGCCTAACAGAATCTCACCGTGGATACTAAAAGAGGGTGCAGAAGCCCTAAGTGTGCCACTCTCGATGATGTATAACAGGTCACTGGAAACAGGAGACCTACCGGAAAGCTGGAAGACAGCTAATGTAGTCCAAATATACAAAAAGGGTGAGAGGCAAGAGGCACTGAGCTACAAGCCAGTTTCCCTAACTTGTATAACATGCAAAGTGATGGAGAAGATTGAAGAAAAGGCTCGTAGAACATCTGGAAGGAAATAGCTTTGTAGCACACCACCAACATGGGTTCAGGGATGGTAAATCGTGCCTCACAGGGTTAATAGAATTCTATGACCAGGCGACAAAAATTAGCAAAGAAAGAGCAAAGTAGGCAGGGAAAGCCTTTGACACAGTACCCCATAAAAGGTTGTTACAAAGGTTGGAGAAACAGGCAGGAGTAAAAGGTAAGGTACTCCGGCAGATAACGGAGTATCTAAACAACAGGAAACAGTGAGTAACTGTGAGAGGAAAGACATCAGAGTACTCTCTCCACATCAACATCCTTTTCCAAGAATTTCACCGCCCCATCCTTCTTCCTCCCACATCCTCTCCAAGCTCTTTGGACATTAAAGCGAAGTGGCGAGATGTCACCAGCGGATTCCCACAGGGCTCTGTACTTGGACCCATCCTGTTTCTGATATATGTAAACGATCTTCCAGAGGGTATAGACTCATTTCTCTCATTGTTTGCTGATGATGCAAAAATTATGAATAGAATCAAGACAGATGATGATAGACAGAGACTACAGGACGACCTGTATACAAACTGGAGGAATGGTCTAGATAATGACTACTAAAGTTTAACTCAGAAAAGTGTAAAGTAATGAAATTAAGCGAAGGGAGCAGGAGGCTGAACCTTGTGAACTTAATCTATACCTGAACCTGAGTGTACATACCTGAGTTTATACCTGAACACAAACTTAGTTATCCAAATGAGCCACAGAGACATTAGAATTTTGTTTCAGTATTAGAGTAGTTAACAGATGGAATGCATTAGGAAGTGATGTGGTGGAGGCAGACTACATACAATTTCAAATGTAGATATGACAGAGCCCAATAGGCTCATGAATCTGTACACCAGTTAATTGACAGTTGAGAGGCGGGACCAAAGAGCCAAAGCTCAACTAGGTGAGTACTATCAACTCCCCCTGAAACTACTGAGATCCTGACCATCATGCCCCTGACAATACGAACCCCCGCCACTACGGCGCTCCTGACACTACCACACCGCAGGTCGCCTGGCGTCGTCTGCCCTCTACCTTACATACAGCTTATGCAAGTCGTATTTTATTTAAGCATTTATAAAACAAAATTCAATTCAAATAAAGAATTACTTAAAACTATCATTATTTTGCAATTTTGTATAGATGTGATATTCAAGAGCACAATTAGCATCTCTTTTAGAGCAAAAATAGGCACTAAATGTGTTATGTAATCTGGGTTTAGTGGAGGTGTTTATGTTCTCAGGGTCGGCCGGGAGGCTCATGGGGAACTCTTGAGTCTGGGGACTCAGAGGGACTCATAGGAAACAAGTGCCTCATAAACCAGCCATGGAGCTGCATGTGTGGTGTGGTGAGGCCAAGTATGGTCTCCCCTCTATGGACCTCAAGAGTCTCCAGATGCTGGTGAGCTTATGTTATTCATTATTAACCTAATTCTTAAAACCGTATATCGTTGTATCATTAAATTAATTATTATTATTAGCTTAGTAATACCCGAATTTACCTGACGGCCACCATCTCATTAGTGGCCTCGATGATGACAGGAAGCCGGCGGCTTGCCAAAGGTCCTTCCATTTGTCCTGATAATTTTAACCAGCTGGATCTTGAATTGCTGCAGTTTTGGCATTTACGGCTTCATTGGGTAGGCAATTCCATTTGTTTATAACCCTGTGGGTGAAAAAGCATCTGTGTTTTCTGTCCTACATTATGGCTTGTTGAGCTTAAAACTGGTGCACATTGTTCGTGTTACATCTTGATCATTTAAAGAAGATGTCTGGACATGGCCAGCTATGACAGAGCTGATCTCATCAAAACTACTAAAATGCTGTATTGAATAATTTGAAAGATATAATTAATATACTGTATTAGAATATTAATTATAATATCTTCCAAATTGTTAAATTGGTTAAAGTTTTGATGAGATTAGCCCTGTCATGTTTGGTTTGCAGTGTTGTTAGCCCTGTGGCCTTCAACCGTTCCTGGTATGAGAGTCAAATTGGTTCTGGAATGATTTTTGTCACCTGATGTTAAACTTTCTCCAAAGCAGATATGTCGTGAAGATGAGGTCTCCCTGCTTGGATACATTAGTCCAAATGGGGACACACCAGAGATTTAGAGAGTCAAAGACTATACCACACACCAGAAGATGAGGAGACAATGACGTTTCAACCCATCCTCGACCATTATCAAGTCGATTATGGTTGATAATCAACTTGAATTATCGTCCAGGACGGACTGAAACATCTTAGTCTCCTCATCTTCTGGTGTGTGGTTTAGTCTTCATATCTTCAGTCACGTTATTAGTGACACATCATCTGCATTTATAGAGTTGTAAAATTACCTCTTTTCCTTGAAGCCAAAGGTTTATTTGACTATTCCTAAGGTTTGGTTGACTTTTTACTGCAGCTTCCACTTGTGCAACTTTCCGTGAATCATGGATTCAGATTCCACTATCCATTTTCTTCATCAGTGTTGTTATGGTAATGTTGTTGTTCTGGTAGTTGATGTTCATTGTTATATCCCATATGCAAGGTCTTTCATATTTCAATATTAAAAAGCCAGTCTTCTGGACTTTACAAATATAAATTACAGCTATAGTTATATTTGTGGAGTTGATGTTGATCTCTCTCTAATGATTTTTACTTGAATTATTGAAAGACATTTACAAATACAGTATACAATATTTAGGTGATAATGATGAAAGGCATAGACTATTTAGTATTTAACCCTTGCACTGCTCACCTATTTTCGGCAAAAACGTCTTGGTGCCATTGTCAAGGACATATTTTTGTTATTTTTACAAATGTTCAGGTAAATTTAATGTCAAAATGTTTCCAAAGTCAACTATTTCCATTTCAAAACACAAATAGTAATGAAAACATTAAAAAACATTAAAATATAGCCAAATTAAAAAACAAAAAGCACAACTCTCCGAGCGCCTAAAGGCGCTTTGCGCAGTGCAGTGGTTAAAATTTACAATAACTGCAAAACACAATTGCTTTATTTTGGATGGGGAAATGTAAGTTAGATTTGTTACATGTTAGTTTGGTATGTCTTAGTTTCTCTTTTAAACTGATTGAGAGAAGTACAGGTTTTTATAACATTTGGGAGGTCATTCCATATTATTGGACCCTTAATTTCCATAACAGTTTCTGCTTTGGTTGAGTCTAGTAATACCAGATAGATAATTGTTCTTCATGCAGTGTCCATGGGTTGTTACAACCCTCAGCAAAGCATATGAGGTGCGGATTAGAATTGCAGGTCAGGGTTTTATAAATGTAAAGTACACTTGAGGGTGTGTGCAGTTATTATTTTTAAGATACCATATTCAGAGATTGCAGAAATTGTGCAGTGATGTCTGGGATTGGAGTTTATTATTGTTCTGATTGCTGATTTATGTTAGTTTGAGTAAGATTGTATTAAATTAAGTAAGGTTTGGTGGGGTTTAAAATCTGTTGGAAAAATATCTTATGTACTTAGTGACAAAGGGATAACATGGAGTGTTATCTACTTTGGTCAAATCAGTTCGTCTTAAATTTTAGTAATGGGAAATAACCAGTGATTATATATACAGATATTTTATTGCAATGTGTTTCAAATTTTCAATACTTAATGAAGGCATTGAGATCTCGCCAACACATGAAATTTCAACCTAACTCTGCATTATGCTACACTCACCTGAGGTCTATAGAAGAATAGGGAAATCTGATTTTGCATTTTGGTTTTACAAGGTAGCAATCTCCATTAAAATATTAAAAATATACCCAACTCAATTAATGATTAATCAATCAGTTAAGCCATGGGACAACTGGGATATATCAGTTGATTTTGTAAATGTGCCCAAGAAAGATAGTGTACACTCTACATTATTAAAACAGTTAACAGAGAACATATACGGCACACATATTATAGATATATGCAAGAGTTGTTACATTCTTGTACAGCCACTAGTATGCGTAGCGTTTTGGGCAGGTCCCTGGAATACGACCCCCGCCTCGAAGAATCGTTACAACTAAGTACACATTTTACTGTTGAGTTAAACAGAGGCTACAGTTAAGGATTTGCGCCCAGTAAATCCTCCCCGGCCAGGATACGAACCCATGACAAAGCACTCGCGGAACGCCAGGCGAGTGTCTTACCACTGCACCACGGAGACTGCCAGCTGCCAGAGACATAGACGCGATAAAGCACCTAAATTATTGGGATCGTCTCAAAACTCTCCAAATGTACTCACTAGAAAGGAGTTGCGAGAGATACCAAATACTATACATGTGGAAAATACTGGAAGGCCAGGTCCCTAATCTACACAGTAAAATAACAACGTACTGGAGTGAACGATATGGAAGAAAATGCAGAATAGAACCAGTGAAGAGCAGAGGTGCCATAGGCACAATCAGAGAACACTGTATAAACATCCGAGGTCCGCGGCTGTTCAACGTCCTCCCAGCGAGCATCAGAAATATTGCCAGAACAACCGTGGAGATCTTCAAGAGAAAACTAGACTGTTTTCTAAAAGACGTTCCGGACCAACCAGGTTGTGGTAGGTATGTGGGCCTGCGGGCCGCTCCAAGCGACAGCCTGGTGGACCAAACTCTCACAAGTCAAGACTGGCCTCGGGCCAGGCTTGGGGAGTAGAAGAACTCTCAGAACCCCATCAACCAGGTATCAACTAGGTAACACTGTGCAACATCACTGAGAGTACTCAGGTTATGGGTAACGAACTGTATCAGTGCAATACCGACAGTTCTGTAGAAGAAGGTGGAAGATGTACTGGTTGTGCATGTAATATATTTAACCAATAAATTGTCATTCACACTTACGTGGAAATAAACATTCCAATCACCTAGGCTCCAGGAGACTCGAACCGAATCTCGGTTCTCAGTCGATAGAGCTTCGGCCTCGCACATGTGAGGTCCATGGTTCAAGTCTCCTAGAGCCCTGGTGAATGGAATATTTAAACAATCTTTTCTCATACAGCAGTGAAGCGTGTCAAAGATTGGGCAAGTACGACTCAAACTGAACTTGCAAGCACATACCTTGCCACTGAATTTTTAAAAGACAAATACAGTGGACTTATATACTGTGACTTTTCTAGGGTGTGAGTTTTCAGTCGCATATAATCCTGGGGACCATTCAGGCTTGTTTGCATACTGTGACTTGCAGAATGCAATCCTGGCATTGAACGCACATAGTAGTAACTCCCAGAAAATAGTCAGTGATATTTGAATGAATGTTTTAGCTGATAAAGAAAACATTTGAAATTAAATTTCTTTCGATACCATCACATGTTGGCATCTTAAAGCATGACACTGTTGACATGCTTGCAAAGTCAGCCTCTAGAAAACCAGTAGTAGGAATTGATATGGGTATTTCATTAGGAGTGACAAAGAGAATACTTATACAAATATCTAATGAAAATTTACTGACCTAACAAATTCACAAAGACCTGAAACCTGAAGCATTGAACATTATGATAAATATCGTAAGGAGACATTTATATATGGAACTAATAGAGGAAGAACTTGGCAATGTGATGTTATAGTAGCCAGACTACGCCTGGAATATAGACATATCTGGCAGCTCTCTCAAAAACCCAAATGTCGAATACACCATGTGTCAACTTTGTAAAAAGAGAAAACATGCACTCCCTTGAACATTATATTGTAGAATGTCCCATATTGACTGACTTTTGCCCTCCTGGGCTGAGGTATACTGAACCTTGTAAATACTATATAAATACTGAAACACTTAGTGATATATTGGACTTGTACCCAAGATTGACTATATAATGCATTAGTTATACAATGTGATGTGACTATAACCTGAGCTTGTAAAAGTATCCTAATCACCTTCAGTGGTTAAGTGCTTAATAATGTTTTTATATAGCAGCTCTATATATTTTTATATAGAGGGAGCCGGTCGGCCGAGCGGACAGCACGCTGGATTTGTGATCCTGTGATCCCGGGGTCGATCCCGGGCGCCGGCGAGAAACAATGGGCAAAGTTTCTTTCACCCTATGCCCCTGTTACCTAGCAGTAAAATAGGTACCTGGGTGTTAGTCAGCTGTCACGGGCTGCTTCCTGGGGGTGGAGGCCTGGTCGAGGACCGGGCAGCGGGGACACTAAAAAAAAAAAAGCCCCGAAATCATCTCAAGATAACCTCAAGATATTTCCTAATGTTTCTATAGCAGTTATCTTACCCTATCAAAATAGGAGAGACATAAATGTATGTGTATATGTATGTACTGTATGTATCTATGTGTATACAGGATATGTGGAAGCTAGTCAGAATTGCATTTCACCTTTGTAAGTGCACATTAGTGACACTAAAAAGACACCTCGAACACTGTTTATGTAGGACAGACATAAATGTATTTATGTTTGTAGGTTAGATTAGCATTCTAAAAGCACTACAATCACTTTCTGTTGTTGATTGTTCAATAAATCACTGAACGGTATGAACAAATCCACAAGGGCCGCGACGAGGGTTCGAACCTATACGTATTGTGGATTTTGGTGATTTGTTCATTTGATGTATCACGCTCAAACCCTCATGGAGGATAGCTCATGGAGGATAGAAGCAAATGTATATATGCTGGTTAACATTGTAAATGTGTGTGGCTATGACTGTGGTAGAAAATAATAATAAACAAACCAAAAAAAATACTTAATAGGATTGACAAACAATATTTCTGTATACATGCTAACTGAATAGTTTTAGTGCCTCAAATTGGTAACTACTGCTTCCTTAGTTCCCACCTGGCATATGCTGTAAATTACATAGTTTATACACTGTGACGGTAACGTTGATGGTAAAGCAGTCTGTAATGCCAGTCACAAAATATTTAAAAACAAAAAATAAAATAAAAAATAAACTGCAAAAGGTGTCTTCACAGTGTGGTTAACTGTAGGAGAAAACATACAGAACAAAAATTTAAAAATACTTTACTTTAATATAAATTACTTTAAACAAATTACAAAATATATAATATCCAGGCTTGGCATTAGTACAAAGTGTGCAAAACAAACAAGATGAATAATCAAATTTACGTTACGTTAAGATGCAAAATAATATATGGTGCAGAATACCATGAGCCAGTCTGACTAAATCTGTTACCCCACCGAGATGTGTCAACAGGTCCACTCAGATGAGCACACAGGAGTAGTCTGAAACTTGGAGAGCTTGGTAGCCCTATATATACAGAATATTGGCCGGCCAGAGGGCGTTGATAGTCTCCTTTAACTAGGAACCGGCTGCTTTAACTGCTTGTTTGGAAGGGCGTGGCCTCACAGCGACCCAGGTGTGAGGTGGGGTGACGGGCCCTGGTAGAGGAGGGAGACTGGTGCTATTGTCTAGCCGTCTGGAAGTAGTTGTTCTTGGCTGCAGTTCTTGATTATGTAGACGTGAATGAGTAGAATAGGCGATAAGGGAGTAGGCTGAATCTCTTACTATAATAATAATAATAATAATAATAATAATAATAATTTTTATTTAGGTAAAGGTACATACATAAAGAGATTTTACAAAGTTTGTTGGCTTTATAGATAGAGCTAGTACATACAATGCCTAAAGCCACTAATTACGCAAAGCGTTTCAGGCAGGAAAAAACACTAATGACTAAAGCTTAAAACTAATGGGTAAAAAGAAAAAAATGCGTTGAGTACAAATAAAAATAGAGGTAAAAGAGGGGGGAACATTGTTGAAAAAGCAGCACAAATACAATTACAAATTATTACAGAAAATTACATTCAAACAGCGTTGATTTGAAAAACAAAAAAAAACAAAAAACATACATGGGTTGACAATAGAGGGGTAAGGTAGGTTACAGGGAATTTATTAGGTATAGCTTCGTTTTTAACTTAAACTGGTTGAGAGAGGTACAGTCTTTAACATGGTTGGGAAGGTCATTCCACATTCTGGGCCCCTTGATTTGTAGAGCATTTCTGGTTTGATTAAGTCGTACTCTAGGAATATCAAAACTATTTATTTCTGGTGTGGTGCTCATGGGTTCTGTTACAACCTTCTATGAAGCTTTTGAGATCAGGATTGGCATTATAGTTTAGTGTTTTATATATGTATAATACACATGAGAGAATGTGCAGTGACTTAATGTCTAACATATTCAGAGATTTGAGTAGGGGTACCGAGTGATGTCTGGGGCCAGAATTGGATATTGTCCTAATAGCAGCTTTGTGTTGAGTAATTAGAGGACGTAAGTGATTTTGGGTAGTAGACCCCAAGCACAAATACCATAGTTGAGATATGGATAGATAAGAGATTTTTACTAGAGATTTTACCGTGACAACACATACATAGCTAGTACAGTATTTTATGAGTGTTGCCCATGCATTGCTGTAATTTCTAATGTGGTCAACTTTTTCAGGCTTATGTCAAATTCTCTGGAGCTCCAGTAAATATTGTTAAATCAAGTAACCCATTTAAGTCACCAACTGGTCAACTGCCAGTTTTCAAATGTTCTGAGGGGGCTTTCTCCGAATTTTCTCAAGTTACTACATTCCTTCGAAAACAGGTAAATTAAATTTAATGAGACATACTGTACACATGTATTTAGAACAATATAGATGTAACTACAGTATTTTGTACACTACTTTTTTTATTTTCATGTGATATTGTCATACAAATTTCAGGTTAAAATTAGTGTTTAATTCATAAATGCTGTGTAAGTATGGGAAAATATAATTCCTCATACTCTGACATAGGTTTCCATTGGCAGCGTATCAAGCAAACTTCACTCCATTTAATTTTTTGTATTTCTGTATAATGCAGTTTGGTCCACATGGCTTAACCTGTATGTATTTTAGAATTTCAGTTGTGATTACGAACTGTCGCCCAAGCAGTGCTCAGAGGTGGTGGCATATGAACATTTATTAGTGGAAAGACTATACCCAGCACTCATGTATCTATGGTAGGTTATATAATTTTCTTATCAATAATAAATAATTAACAAATAATTAACTTATATTTATTAATATACACACACTAATATATATATATATATATATATATATATATATATATATATATATATATATATATATATATATATATATATATATATATATATTACATAATAATTTAGTCATTAGGCTAATTTGGATAACTCAAAATCATATCTTCACTTTTGTTTAGAATTTTTTTTAAGAGCTTAGAGGTTTATAGAATGAGTTTTGGTGTGGTGCCAAATCACTATGATCCGACCTCGTGATTCTTCGTTATCACCTTGTATTATGCATTACTTGAAAACACCTTCAAAGTGTCCTTGGAATTTAATTTTGTTAAATGCAGTAGGTTTTATAGATAAAAAGAAAAAGATGAGTCTAGCGGAAAGGATTGGAAGGAAGAAGCAAAAGCAACTCTTGTCTGTTTGTAAAAAATTTGGATATAACCTTTGTTTCAGGTGGGTTGAACCTAAGAGCTACTATGATGTCATCCACAAGTGGTACTACAGCAGTATTCCATTCCCATACAAATTTTGGTATCCCAGGAGGTATCACAAGGGATATTGTGAACTAATTGGTAGCATATTTGATGATCCTGATGATTCTCAGCTCATTGAAACCGAGGTATGACACTAGGTTGTTGTTGTTGTTTTTAGATTCAGCTTCTCTGAACACAGGTTCCAAGTAGCATGGGCTATGGTGAGCCCGTAGTGGACTTACCTGGCACAGGAGCGGGGTTGTAACTGACACTGAGCAGTGTGCTCAGTATTGCTGTGCAGTGTGTACAGCAATTAGTAAATTACACAATTATTCTCGTCATTGCAAGGTTTAGGATAAAAACCCACACTTGTGTATTTGTGAAATTTATGTAAAGAATTTACATAAATTATTATACACAAATACATGTGTGGGTTTTTATCCTACGTTATTATGTCTGTGAGAAGACATTACCATTACTTATTGCAAGGTTTAGTAAGAACAAAATATCTTATGTGTTTATGCAGCACAGTATTTAAATTTGCAATATTAATATATGCCTAATGTGCATTTATATTTGCCTCCACGTAGCAGAAGTAACTGTAGCACATTTCTTCATCACTATTAAATTTCCTGGAAACTTTATTCTCTATTTCAGTTGCTGAAGCATGCTCAAGAATGCTTAACAATGTTATCTAATCGCCTTGGAGATCGAGAATACTTCTTTGGCCGGTCTCCATCTGCTATTGATGCCCTCATCTTTTCTTATCTTGCTCTGCTCCTAAAGGCAAGTTTACATTTTCATTAGGTTAATACATTTTCTGTGGGGAGCCAGAACTGGAGCTATCAGGCTGTTATGTGTTATATTAGTCTGGGGCATCAGTCAATTGACTTTCAGCCTACCGAAGACCACACGCCAGAACCTGGCCTCCCCTCAAAGACGCACAGGGAGCAATGGCCTATGGAAACCCTCATGTATTTGGAGGCATTCCATGTCTGCCATCGATCGGGGTTGGCACCCAGAAAGGTAGGCATAACAAAACAGACTCCCCCACATGGTAAGAAAATTGCAACGGAAGACTAAACAGAGAGGCAGAACTCCCCCTACTTATAGAGACAACGAAACAATCAAATGCCACACTCTGCCGCCATGCTGCTTGTATGGGCAGCCCTCCGCTCCCTGGGAGGGGAAGGGGAAGCCCCGGACCCTGCGCGCCGGCTACCCAACCATTCCAGTTTATTGGCTTATGTGGTCTGGGGCAGACATTGACTCTGGCCTCAGATTCTGGGCAGTTGTGTACCTTAGTGGTGTGTTCTGGTGTGTGTGTGTGGTGCGGTGGCCAAGAGAACTTGAGAGTACTGAGGCTGCATGCACTTTTTCTTCCCTAGGTGCCCTGTAAGTACTACCATTGGGTTCTAGTGTTCCATTCCATAGAACTTTCAGGAACTGCTTCCGTAGGGGTCTTTGCTGCTTGGCAATTATCCCTACCCTTGGGGCCAACTAGGGTTTTCATGGCCTTTGTTTGGCTTTGGGTAGGAATTATCATCATTTGCTGGTAGGGACTCAAGGAGGGGGGGTAGAAATAGCCTAAGCTATTCTATCCCTTTGAGATGTACGTGTATTTTATTGTCTCAATAAACATACTTGAATTTGAAGAGGCACAAGGTACTGCATAGCTCGCCTACCCACATGGTGGCCGGTTTCTGTTCTTTCTGGGGACGTTGTCCTTTTGCTGGGTTTTTTGTTTGCTTTGTTTCCTTGCCTGGAGGGGGTCTGCCTGGTTTGGTTATTGGTCCATTTCTATTGTTTTGGTGGATCTTTTCTAGGCCCCTCGTGATTGTACATGTCACAGGGGTTCAGGCTTAGCAGTTTCCCTTGTTAATTTGGGCCTAGCAGGTTTTGCAGTACAATACCTTGCCTGAGCTTCCCGTAGCAGTAAGCATGTGGGCCCTGGAAATTCCTATTGGGGCTCATGGATGCATCTTCTGAGTTTCACCTCACCTCGTGCAAGTTTGAGGATTGCTGTGTGCCCTTGTCTCAGGGTGACAGTTACCATTTTTGCCTCCTTCATGCTAACTGTTTGGTCAACGACACCTTTGACCTGGAGTTTTGCGAGTCGTGTTTTCTGATTGTTCTCCAATTTACCCATTCTGATGATATTGATGTTTGGGTACAGGCAACATCTGCGTTACATGTTAGGGTTAGGTTGCTGCAATGCACTAGGTTGATTGCCCACCCAGATGCCCCAAGGCTGCCCGATTTTGGTTATAGGGTCCCGGACTTGGGGACATTAGTCGCTTCAACTTTGATTCCGTCCGCGCTCCCTGGTCCTTGCACTGTTGTTCATTATCCCCCCCCCCCCTCCCTGTTCCCAAACGTCGGAGGATTTCGGAGGCTGCGCCATTCGAGTTGGGAACAGAGGCATTCGAGCCGGTTCCTCCTGCCGTGGCTTCTGGGTCCCACCAGTAGGACCCCCTTTTTTCTGCCTTTTCTTCAGGGGTAGAGGGTGTGGAGGACTGCTCTGCCCCGAGGCTGGGGAGGAGTTGACTTGGGGGCTTTTGCTCCCTTTGACCTTGCTTGGGTTTTGGTGCCCTCTTTGAAGGACTTGTTGTTGCAGGGGGGGTTCTTAACCCTTCTTCCCTGAACGAGTATGATTTGGGGTCGGCTCCTCCCCGGGTTCAGTTCCAGGTTCCCTTGGGTTCCTCGGCTCCTCTTTTCCTGAGGTTTTCTGCCTCTTGTATTTCACCTAGGGAAGTTCGGGAAGCAATTGCTGCATACCTCCTGCGAGACCCGGATTCTGCCTCTGATGGATCCATCCTCGTTTGAGTTCAGTTCTTCCCCATATTGGGTGAGTTTGGAGGTTCCGGAGTCTTCCTGACTGGCAGACTGCTCTTTCTTTTCATTGGGGGCGTGGCATGGGTTCTGTCAGAACTGCACGCTTAAATGGCGAGAAACTTCTACCGTTCTGCAGGTCTACAGGGGGGCGAGTTTGAGCACCTTAATGCGTGCTTGTTTGCCCCTGTGCTTTCTCGGGATGTTGACCTTGTGCAGCTGCATGTGCAGGTTTCCACCCTGTCGGCATATTTGGTTGCCGAGGATTTGTACGCCCATGGGCATTTGGCTTCGATCTTGCTCTTCTTTTCCCTTTTCGAGCTGTCCTCGAACTGGCTTGAGGAGGATGTGGAGGTGTTGAGTGCCGGGCCTTCGTCTGGTGCGCTGACTTCGGCAGCTAAGGCATTGGCCGGGCTGTTGAAGCTAATTGTGCCAATTCTCAAGGAGGCATGGTATGTGCTCTTTGCTTCTCACCTTGCCTTTTCCCGGGCAGGCTGTTCTCGCTCTCTTTGGAATCCACCTGGACCCTGGCTCTTAAGTTTTTGTTGCAGTTTTGTCTGTTGCTGTTTGCAGAGACGGACATGAGTCATGCAGTTTCTGAAGACGGCTTCGTCTAGTTTCGCGTTTCGCCATGTTAACGGGGCAATGGGGGGAGCCTCGTGCTGTTTGCTCACGCTTGGTCCCATGATTTGTGGGTGTTTCGGGTTGTTTCCTCTGGCCTGTGGTGGTATTGGCCGGCTTTTCCTCCTACGGGGGTTCGGGGTTCACGGGGCAGGCTTCTTCCCCTGTGCTCCATCGGGTCATCTTGGAGTGAGTGTGCTTGGGCGTGGTTGAAATGACCCCATCCCTCCCTGAAATGACCCCAGTAGGGAGCCAGTCGGCCGGGCGGACAGCACACTGAACTTGTGATCCTGTGGTCTTGGGTTCGATCCCGGGCGCCGGCGAGAAACAATGGGCAGAGTTTCTTTCACTCTATGCCCCTGTTACCTAGCAGTAAAATAGGTACCTGGGTGTTAGTCAGCTGTCACGGGCTGCTTCCTGGGGGTGGAGGCCTGGTCGAGGACCGGGCCGCGGGGACTCTAAAGCCCCGAAATCATCTCAAGATAACCTCAAGATAACCTCCGGTGGGCTGTCTCGGTTCATTCCCCTGACCACGGAATGGACGATCGACACCTCCTTCAGTTGGCTCTGCCCGACATGCAGGCTCCCGGAGGTGGACCGCTTTGTATCGGCGTGGTTGAGGCATCTACCGATATATGTGGTGCCCTGCCCCGATTGCAACCTTTGCAGTGGATGCCTTTTGGCAGGACTGGTCAAGGTGGGGTTACCTGTGTCTCCCCCCCCCCCCCTCCCCTGGATCCAGCTGTTGCTTCGGGTCCTGGCTCATTTGGAGACTTACCAGGGGAGAGTAGTCCTGTTGGCCCCTTGGTGGCTGGCCCAGCCTTGATTTCAGGCACTGTTTGCTCTGTGTCAGAATCCGAGATGTTTTCTGTGGCTCTGCCTCTTTCAGCAGTTCGGACTGGCCCAGTACGTGGCTGGTTCAGAGTACTGCTCTGCTCTTCGCGTCTGGTCTTTTTGACATGGGTATATCACCACTTGAATGGTGATCAGGTGACTGTTGGTGTCCCACCTGCCAGCTTTGTCTCAGTGGCAGTATGAAGTTTCCCGGCGTTCTTTTCTCCATTTCCTTTCTCTTTGTAGGTTGTCTCTATTTCTGATTGGGTTATCTTGTCCTTTCTTTCTTGGCTTTTTCAAGACCGTCATTTGATGCCTAATACTGTCGCCTCGTATCGTGTGGCATTGGTGGAGGTGCTTCAGCTTGCGTTTGGGATTGATGTCACTTCTGCCACGTTTCGTAATCTCTCTCGTGCTTTGTTTCACCTCCAGCCTGCTCATGCGCCGCCTGAGCCGTCCTGGTCCTTGGACAGGGTGCTCTCTTTTCTCTCTCCTCCTCAGTTTTTGGTGGCCCCTTTGGTTCAAGATTGTTTTTCCAAGGATCTTTTTCTGTTGGCATTGACCTTTGGGGGTCGGGTGGAGGAGCTTCATGATCTCCTCTGGCGCAGGGGTTTCTGTTCCTTCAGTCCTGGTGGTCGGTTTGTTCAGTTGCAACAGCCGTCTCCTTCTTTTCTGACAAAGATTGACGGCGGCTTTTTTGAGATGATTTTGAGGCTTAGCATCCCTGCGGCGCAGTCCTCGACTAGGCCTCCTTTTTTTGTTACACAATCCCAGGAAGTGGCCCGTAGCAGCTGTCTAACTCCCAGGTACCTATTTACTGCTAAGTAACAGGAGCATCAGGGTGAAAGAAACTCTGCACATTTGTTTCCGCCTCCACCAGGGATTGAACCCAGAACCTCAGGACTATGAATCCGAAGCACTGTCCACCCAGCTGTCAGGCTCCCTTCCGGAGGGGGCCTTGGGTCATTGATGGTTAGGCTGGAGGTGCATCATGTGTAGTGTCCAGTTGTGGCTTTTCGCCATTATTGCACACCTCGGCCTCAGTGGCTGGGGACGCTCTTTGGGTTGTCCCGGTATCTCTTGTTTCCTGTTCCAGGGCTTCGGGTCTCTTAGGTCGTCTGCAGGGTTATCAAGTCTAGCCAGCCTGTGGTCTACCCTCGCGCCCATGATGTTTGTCAGTTCACAGCTTCGGCTGCTGCGTTTTTCAATATGTCTTGGGCGGATATTCGGGCATACGAGTTTTGGAAATCAAACAGGGTTCTGGGTGCCTGATATCTTGTAAATGCGCCGGGCCCTCAGTGGTCTTGCGTCATCTTGGGTCGGCGGTTACAGCCAGTTGTCTCATCTTCGGTATAAGTTGTACTGTACAGCTGCCTCCTGGGTAAGTCCCTCTATTATTTCTCTTTGGGTAGCTAGCTCTAGGGAGCCGACAGGGCTCCCCCACTGAAAACCAGTGTTGAATGTAGCGAAATACCATTTTCTGGGAAAAGCCCCAGAGGCTCCCTGGCACCCCTCCCACCCTCCCTCCCCCGACCAGCAGGGTTTTGTTCCATTTTTCCGCCTCCAAACTGACGATCCAGCTGCCGACTCGGTGGGCTAGGACCCCTCTTCCCTGCCTGGGGGAGGGAGGGTCACGAACTAGCGTCGCACTGTGTGATGACGTGTTGCTTGATAGCTTGTTTTTCTTTGGGGGAGTTTCTTGCCTCTGTTCGGTCTTAGGTTGCAATTTTCCACCAGGAGGGGTCTGTTTTGAAGTGCCTACCTTTCTGGGTGCTTAACTCCGGTCGATGGCAGACATGAATACTCTTATACATGAGTTTCATAGGCCATTGCTCCCTTCGCCTCTCTGAGGGGACCATGTTCTGGCTAGTGGTCCCCGGTAGTCATGACAACTCCATAAGACTGAAGCCCAGTACTAATACTAGCTAATACAGTATCAGTCCAATAGCTCCAGGGAGCCTTCGGGGCTCTATCCAGAAAACGGTGTTTCATTACATTTAACGCTGGTTTTATGTTCAGAAACCAAAAAAGCAGAAAAACAATGGAATTCTTCAAAATTCTTCACAAAGAATTCAAGCGCAGTCGTCACTAGGCAGGAGACTGGTAAACTGAGGTGCGCCTCGCCCGCACCCAGCAGCACTGCGTGCTCGTCGACTCGTACATGTATCAACAAATTTGAAAACTGAGGCACACTTTGAATACCACGTTAAATTTTACAAAGAAATTCAGCTCATATGCCAAAAAAATTGTAAAGAGGGGTATTCGGCAACCAAGGTTCCACCATATTTGACTGCCTCCTGTCATAACTTATTGGAATGTCTGCAGACTTTTACCTTGGTTCCCTCTCTGTTGCTTTGTTAAGTGTTACAATTAGTCAACCTATTATTTTCTCCAAGCCAATTTATGTTAGCTCAATGAAGGGAATATTGGCTCTCCAATAGTGTTTGCCAGAAGGTATTTGCCTATGATTCCCTGCCTTGTGATCTATTTACATTAAGATCTAATTAGGAAGTGTGGTGCTGAATGTCTCGTTTCTTGACCCCTCTCTTTTGACCGAGCATTCGTCACCCTGCTTCCTTTTTAGCACAGCTTTGCATCACAGAGTGGAAACCTTCCCTTTTTTTCATGTTTAGTTAGCTTTTTATTTTCTTCCCAGGCCCAGCATACATTTCCTAGGTCTACCTTAGTGGGCAACTGATTGCTTATAGAATAGCTTTGAATGTGAAAATTGTGCATGAGTTTTAGAGTACTGTATTGTATATGTGGGATAAAATGTAAAAATAAATATATTATCCTAATTATCATTGAAAATAGCTTAAAATTATTTTAATATCTGATTTCTAACCTGATGTATGTTTCATAGGTGGACCTAAAGGTGCCTGTGCTGCAGAACCACGTCAAGGCTTGTCCGAATCTATCGCGCTATGTGTCCAAGGCTATTCAGCGATTCTTCCCATCAGGTAATATGCCCCAAACGATTTGCACTGTCTTTTGTATGTGGGGGTGGGGGGGAGGGACATGATTTTGTGTGTTTGCATACATGTATGCCATACATTTAACCCTTTAACTGTGCAACGCGCCTGCAGGCCCAGGCTTCGGGTGTGCAACGCGCCTCCAGGTGTTTTTATTTTTCACGTTCCATTCAAAACTCCCGCGGATACATGGGGTTCACATCAGCTTCCTCAGGGCTCTTGTAAACAGACGCCATCTTTAAAAAAAATCATAGTCCACATTGCCGGGTGTCAAGAGCCTCAGTAGTGAGTGAGCAACCAAGGCTGGCGCTCGCAGCATGAGCGCACAGCTCTGCTGTTCAGCGTGTGACCACAGCATCGCCTAATAATGTCAAAATATATATATATACAGTAACCTGTATTATTTAGCCGTGATAGTATTATAGAAGAGCCTGAGTGGAATAATGACTGGGTACAATGTTCAAATATCAGTGATTCAATACTGTTCACGATGTTCACAGCACTAGCCACAGCACCACAGCATTATTTCGTCCATCTAGGAATCTTCAAATGACTTCTTAGGTTCCTTTTCAAAATAAACTTGTGGTCAATTATTCATTTACAGAAATTAGTGACCAGGATTGGCCCATACGAGGCAGCTGCTCTTAGCCCATAGGAGGCAGCTGCTATTGGCCCATAGGAGGCAGCTGTTATTGGCCCATAGGAGGCAGCTGCTATTGGCCCATACGAGGCAGCTGCTATTGGCCCATAGGAGGCAGCTGCTATTGGCCCATAGAAGGCAGCTGCTATTGGCCCATACGAGGCAGCTGCTATTGGCCCATACGAGGCAGCTGCTATTGGCCCATACGAGCTATTTTGGTGAGAGATGTGACGTCGTAATTGTAGCGTCGTCTGCTGTGTGATTTCTCATGCAGTGTATGATGGCCACTGTACTGTTTGGACACAATACCGGCTTACTTGCATAGTTCTAGTAAATAAAACATGTAGATAAATATATATAACATGTCTAAATAGTGTAATAAAAATAATGACAGTACGGTGGGTGGAGCAATGTTGGCGAGTAAGATGTTGGAGTGAGGGAGGGCCTGTGTGGGTGTGGCTGCTTACACTCGCGATGTTCTGAATGTGTTGATGGTAAATGTATATAGTGTGTACATATGTTGTAAATATACATAAATGAACATGAAACATTGGTGTGAATAACTGTATGATGGGAGGGGCAATGTTGGCGAAGTGAGGGAGGGCTGGCTGGGTGTGGCTGCTCACGCTCACGGTGTTCTGAATGTGTTGATGGTGAATGTATATAGTGTGTGACAGTGTATAGTCTGTAAATAGATTGTATATATACATAAATTAGCATGATACATGGTAAATATGTGCAAGATATGTGTACACAAGTGTCATGCACGTAACAGTGTCCTTGAACAATACGGATGTTTTACTGCCATAATGTAGTGTACATGTTCATTATACCTAGGATTAGCATGTAAAAACAAATAAAATGTATTTGGAACTGTGCGCAAAAAATGAACAAAAATATAGTCGCGGCAACTCGCGCGCCCCGCCCCGGGCTCCCCACTGGCCCCGAGTGCATACTGCTCTGGCACATGGGGAATGATGACGTCATGCCCCACCTTTCGGACCCCATAGCAGCCAAAGTAAGTACAATTTCGAACTTCTGTTGCTATACCCATATACAGAGAGGGGTTTTTGACACTTTTAGAAGAAAAAAGAATTTTTTCCCGAGGTTTCATTTCCTGCGCACTGGGGGAATGTCATATTTATAGGCCGCGCAGTTAAAGGGTTAAGGGTCCTGGTAGTACGGTTGGGTTCGTTCTCGACGCACAATCGAGAATTCCGGGTTTGAATCCCGGGCGGGACGGAAATGGTCGGGCACATTTCCTTTCACCTAATGCCTCTGTCCACCTAGCAGTGAGTTGGTACTCAGGAGCTAGTCAGCTTGTTGTGGGATTACATCCTGGGTGGGGTCAGTAATTCGACCTTGGGGGGGAGGGGAGGGGATGGGTTACCTCGATAAAAGCCAAAACATGTATGAATACACTCTGGCTTCCTGACCCCTGACACAATGAATTATTATTATATTATTATGTGCAGACATGAGTATATTTAATGAATGCTGTACAGTATATTCCAAGTTATCCCACTCATTTATGCCCTACAGCAAAATCCATTTTTGAGACCCTGGATAGGATTTCATGCCGTTTAATGTTGGTTGACATTCCACCCTGGCACAGCTAGAAATTATTCAGACTATCCCTGGTGAATTTACCAGCCATAGGGCACTGGTTCTCAACTGGTTGTCCTGGGAAGGGGGGGGGGCATAGGAGCTCTCTTTAGTGTGTATTTGCTTAAAGATAGTTCTAAAGTATGTGTGTTCCAAGGTTGCTCTAGTAACCTTGGAAAATATACGCACAAGGGCATTATATACAGTATATTCAATGTATGTATATTGTATAGTGTATGTGTATATTGTAAACATACAATATACATTGTATGTACACTATATATAAAATGCTTGAGAAATGAGAGGTCAGAATGCACCCACACATACAGAATAGCTGGTGTGCATGCAGTATGTAGGTCTGGATAACTCGAAAAAAAAAATCGCTTAAACTCTCTTTGTACAACTTATTATACAATTCAAATACAGTAAAACATTTATAAAATAAAATGCATTATTTGGTGTAATATTTGGTACTAAAAGAACAAGAATGGCAAAAATATGAAAAAAGAAAAATTATCTGCTAGAAATTAGGTTACATGATCTGCATTTTGACCATGTATGGACAATCTGGTTGCTAGATCAATATATTATTTAGAATGATCCATTAAAACTAGGCCTGCATTTTGAAGGTTCCACTGTTCTTGTAAGTACATGAAATATCTGGAAAATATATGTACTACATCATTCCATCCCCTCAAGACAGGTGAGATACAGGTAGAATATATGTAGATGTAGAACTTAACAGGTAACCAGTCATTGTTTCATTATAGATGGGATGTGTAGGAATACTGCTTACTGTAACTGGATCAAACACAATGATGCTCATGATAAATATTTGTTACTCTCGTTTTTTTTTATTAAGACTTGCGGGCTGAGGAACATGCCAAGAGAAGTGAGTAACTGTTGTGTTTTGCATGGTGTTTTGTATCTATCACCAATGCTTCTCTTCAAAAGAGAAGTGTTGGGGTAGAACTTCTATACCACAGCCAGAGTCTATGCAGGTAATGTGTGAGACCCTGACTTTGTTTCAGTGGAAGCCTCAGGACCCCTAGAGGATTCTGTTAAATTGTTGCATTACTTTTGAGCATATCGTGGCCTCTTGGTTTAGGGCATGTGCTTGGGGAGTACTCAGTGTGCAGGTTTGAAGCCTCCTCATGGCTCCTACCCATTGTCTCAAATATAAAATAATGTTAAATGACATGTAGAATGTTGGTAAACAGTAAACCTCCATATTACAGGAAATGGGACAGTTTCTCATGTGTAGATCAAGAGTTGATATTAGCCATATTACTGACTACTGGTCTTAAGAATGGTGAGAGAGAAATGTTGGTGGGATAAGGAAGTAATAAGATACTAGTGTGATTGATGTTCTATAAGGGGGGCGTGGCCATGTGAAAAATAAGGTGGCTTTGAATATGACACACTGTAGTTGAAGTTACACTTAGAAAACTGCACACTTTCTAAGAGGTGGAAGGGTTAAAAGATAAACGTAGGGGATTTTAGGATGTTTCTGGAAAGGATGCTGGGGCAAGGACTGCCGAGAAGTGGAGATCATTTTGCATGTCAAGAGTAAGTGTTAGTAGGAATGCTAGTTATATATGATAGCCTAAGTAAATGATTTATATATGATTATCAGGTATTACAATTTTACAATCTTGTATAATGTAATGAATGAGATGACAAACAGATGATTTTTAATATTCCTTAATCTGTTTAGTAAATAAATATGCATCATTTAAATGTTCTTGGAAATTTTTATCCTTTCATGTTTTAGTCAAATGTGTTTATACTGATAAGAAAATAAGTTACCATGTTTGAATAATGGGAAAGAAGTAATTTGGTATACCAACAAATCATAGATATTTAGAAATAAAACATTTTATAAGGGAAGATTATTTATTGTTAATATATTCAAATTGAATAAATATAGGAGCTTTAAGTGTAAATAAGAGCAGATGTAGAATGTTTCATTGAAGAAAAATTAATGCAAAATTGCTTTGTGTCAGAGAGCCAAAGAGGTACAGACAACCGAGACTCTCCGGCAAAGGATGATGTACCACACAAGGGACGAAACTTGCTCCTTTCTGGTTTAGTGGCATTTTCTGCAATGTTTGGGTATGCAATAGCAGCAGGTCTAGTACAGGTTTGTAATTATCACACTTATCTTTTATTGTTTTTATTGAATGTGGTAATTGAAGTTAGTACAGTATGTGCGTTTCAGTTACTGTATAACTATTACTCATAATGATGATGATAAATTAAAAATATTGAGACCTTGAAGGCTTTTTTGAGTCCTGTTTCCTTTGAAGTTCCACACATATATGCATTTATTAATTAAAACATTTCTAATACTGTAAATATCTATTTGCCAGGTTGACATGGGTGATTCACCTGTTGAAGAAGAATATGACTATGACTATGAGGACTATAATGAGGCTGGGTCTAGTGAGAATTAAACTGCAGGTGTGGAGAACCTGACATTGCTATTAGTTAAATCGAGACAAAATTTGGCCTTAGGTGTCTGTACAGCAGCAAGGTTTTTGGCTTTTGTTAACTAATGTATTATGAGTATCAATGTATTTTTTCTATGAGGTTTAATGTTGTGCAATGCAATAATTTCCTTACATGCATGGAAAATATTTTAATATTCATTATCTTTTTATATACAGTATTTTTCAAATTTAGACCATGCAATTTTCATAATTTTATTTCCAATATAAGACAGCTTTACTTGTAGTGAAGAGCACAAAAATAGCCAGAGATCTCATTTGTTTTTATTTTTAATTATTTAGTGTATTAATTTGATTTAGCAAACAGATATAAATCTTGTTTGTGCTTCACAGCTTTTTAGATTGAATGTAATTTTGTATATGGAACATTATTTTTTATTTTGTAATCCCAAAAACTTTGTGAAAGTCATGTAATTTTATTTTAAATATACAGGAGTACCTCAGTTTTCGTAGTTAATCCGTTCCCAGAGACAGTACAAAAACCGAAAAATACGAAAACTGAAACAAATTTTTCTATAAGGAATAATGTAAATTGAGATAATCTGCTCCTCACCCCCAAATATATTAACTAAAAAATACATTTTATACAGAATAATATTCTTAGGTACCTTACCTGTATTGAGGACTCTTGTTGGTGTATGGAAGACAGTGAGGAAGGGGGGAAGGAGAGGTGTTAGTGTTTGAAAGGGGGGTTCCCTTCCATTATAACAGCAGTGATAAAATTTCTGGGGTGCTCTCTCTCTCTCTCTTTCTCTCTCTTACATTTTGCAGGCATACCACTAGGACCTGGTTGTGGCTCACTGCTCTCTTGTCTTACTAAGAATCTGTCTATAGACACTTGTTTTTACCTATGTTTTAACACTTGTATGTAGTAAGACACCACATTCTCACTATCTATCGTCATCCTCGCAACTATTTTCTTACGGTGAACATTACCACTGACTTTCTTGGAACCCAGGGTGTGATATATAATAAGAACTTATATGTTCAGAAACCAAAAAAGCACAAACAATGAAATTCTTCACAGAGAATTCAAGCGCGATCATCACTAGGTGGGTGACACAAGTAAACTGAAGCGCCACGCTTGCGGTGGACTTGTACGTGTATGAACAAACTCCGAGCACTGAGGCAAACAACGAGTACCGAATCGAATTTTTTGGAGAAATTGAGTACGAGTACCGAAAAATGTGAGAACGGGCATATGAGAACCGAGGTTCTACTGTATAAATAAATAAATAACCGATACTTTCTCCAAATATGTAATGCAGGTTATTAATATGTTACTGAAATAATATATGTCTTACCTAAGGAGAAGTATGACTTCAAAAATTGTCCTTGATTGCTTATGTATACAGTATATGACCTTATTTACATTAGGCATCAAATGATTATGTCCTTGTATATATATAAAATATAATATGACAGTGTCAGACCACGGCACTGGTTCGTGATTTAGACACGAACGATTTATATATATATATATATATATATATATATATATATATATATATATATATATATATATATATATATATATATATATATATATATATATATATTATTATATTATTATATATATATATATATATATATATATATATATATATATATATATATATATATATATATATATATATATATATATATATATATATAATATATATATATTTTCCAATTCTTAATGCAGTATTTAAAAAGAAGACCTTTAAAAATAGGACAAGTGAAAGTAATTCTGCTGTTTAGGATGTACATTGCTAGATGGTATTTGCAGCCAAGATCTTATGTCAGTTCACTGGGAAAGAGATGAAGATATTATTTTAAATTTAGTTCATTCACTTTGTGCAGCTGTCATCAAATTTCCAAAACTGTTGATATGGTGGAAGCAAATTTGTATTAGCAGAATGGCTTAACTTGATATCAGTTTAATATTTTGTAATACAGTCAGGAATGGCATGTAATAAAGGCATGATGTATGTTGTGGAAGATGGAGAACATCTTGTATTATTCTTTAATTGAACAATCTTGAGTCCACACCATCATTCCATTGTATATTTCCATTTTTTCTTTTTGTATAGGTATCTTCCTCTTAAGTATTATGCTCAAATACTTTAAGTAATTGGCTCTGTAGTTTATTTAAAGAAATAAATGGTTCATTTGGACATAATTTTATTGTACGTGCATATTCATTCCAAACGAGCTCTGATTTTACTACAGCAAATCATTGCAAAATACATGGAAATAACAATTCATTATCACTTCTCGTTTTTAGAGAATGTTTTATGAATGAGCTAAGACATATGGAACAAACCTGTTTAACTTTTTAGAACAATCATCAGTCAGTGAATGCAGTCTAAGTGAAAGTCACAATGGTATGCAACAATAAATTTGAAAAAGTACTACATAACTCTTAACTGTGATCCAAAATGTTCCAGAACTATACATTTCATTTCCCCTCATTTTTATTCCCCCCTAAAAGATCTTTCCTCGCCATAGTGAGATGGAACTCTTGTGGGACTCTGTGGGACTGCTGAGGAGGTTGCCTCGTCCCTCTGTCCTGCCATTCTACTGGCTTTGTACATGTGAAGGAGACCAACGTAGGATACCTGTTGGTCACCAGACCAGAGGGAAAGGGGGGGTCACCAGTGAGGGACTACCCTTAGGGGATATCTGGGTTGGGGTAAGAGGGAGAAAGAGGTCTTTGCATCATGAAGGAGAATGTACAATGTTATAGGACATCCGTTAAAAAAAGGGGTGGGGGGATGGGGAGGCACTGTTTAGGATAATGTACCCCATTCCTGCACTAGCCAGTGCTCGATCTACCCTGCTGCCTTGGTTCTGGGGTCCAAACGTTTGGAATGATTGATGCTTATGGGACACAAAAAATACTTCTGAACACAGGCTCATGGGGCAGACAACCATGCTATTGATCCCAGACAAGGTTTCATCTTTTTCAAATCCACAGCATGCTACAAAAGCTATTCAACTTGGGACATTACTGTGGCTCCAAGGGTATGGCACGTATGTTTGAAATTCACCAAGATGCTGGATCCAGTCCCTGCTCTGCATCGGTGATTTTTTCAATGACACATTAATAATAATTGTGTTGGGGGGCCAGGCAGTCAATGTATATATACATGTTAGGTTTATCAAAGTTCCCCTCACAAAGTCACGTTTACCTGAGTACCACTAACACACTAGTGGACTCGACAAGAAGAGGAAGCCGGCAGCTTGTCAAAAATTTGTCATTTGATGACAAATCCATGTCCTGATAATTTTTCTAGTTGCAACAAGCTGACTAACTCCTAGGTACATATTTACTGCTAGGCAAACAGGGGCACTAAGGAATGATAGGCACATTCCCTAGGATAGGGAATATGCCCAACCATTTCTGTCCCGCCCGAGTTTCGAACCCAGAATTCCCGATTGAGATAAGAACGAACTTGAATGTACTACCAGGATCTAAAGATCTACCCTACTAAAGACATCACTTTATATTTTTAAAATTTTGTCACTGTTCTTCAGAATGGACAGAACACTAAATAAATTCTTAAAAATAAACATTAAATCATAACAGTGCTATAGAATGTATAGCAGCTGGGGGTTTCCACATGTAGGTGGATTATGAGCATTAAGTTAATTCCCATGAATGGTATACAAGAGGAAAAATACGAAATCTTGTTCCATTTAGATTGGGGAATGTCAGCATTATGTATTAAATTGTGTAGTCCAATAATCTATCTAATTAAATTGTCTATAAAGTCGCTCTGCAGCTATTTTGAACATACATCGTGTGTTTTCTCTTCCTACTTTATTATAATCGGCAAATTTCCTAATATTGCTCAACAGCTCTGTTTAAGTCGTTTATGTATATTGTATCCCCTGCCCTGCAGGGATATATGATACCCCCACATATGATACATTTGATACCCCTGCCTCCCAACCCCCTTCCTTATCCATGTTTACTTCTTATGAATGGACATAACAAAGGGGGATATTAATAGGGTATTAAAAGTATCAACACAAGAAAGAATACGAAACAATGGGTATAAATCGGATAAGTTTAGATTTAGGAAAGACTTGGGTAAATACTGGTTCGGTAACAGGGTTGTTGATTTGTGGAACCAATTACCGCGCAACGTGGTGGAGGTGGGATCCCTCGTTTGTTTCAAACGTGGGTTGGACATGTATATGAGTAGGATTGGGTGGTTATAAATAGGAGCTGCCTCGTATGGGCCATATAGGCCTTCTGCAGTTACATTTGTTCTTACGTTCTTATTTTCCTCCCCCACTTTCACTCTCTCCTTCTCTCCCTCCATCCCATACTTGCGCTAACCCTTATCCCTCACTCCTAATATACATATGAATACTTTCGTAAATAAGGTTACAGATGTTAGGCAAATAAATCATCTGTGACACATCACGTAATGATTGCGTTTAATTTATTGACGCTCGCGTTCCTGATAGTTATAAATATATTAGTCAGGTCTTACCAGTTTAATATGTGACTAACATTATATAGAAGACCTACATACGACGTTCCCTTTCAACTCTTCTCATTAAAAAAAAAAAAAAACATACTTTACACTTATCATCCCTCTTTCTCTTAATATATTTATTGTTCAAAGTTTAAACCATTCTTAAACCTATTTGATGTTTTGAGATTTTTTTTGTTCAAACTCGCTTCGGTGACAAGATTAGTGCCATATATTCTGTGATTGAACGATTTTTTAAACGCCACATATCACATTTAATAAGTACACCAATCGTGCAAGTTACGCAATTATTTTTTTTTATTAACATATTTAGGTACATCTGTAGTCATTTGTGCAGCTACCCCTACACTATATGTAGAGGAGTGCATGGTGTATCAAGCGCTAGCTACGTGACGACAGTGCTACATAGCCTTCCCGGTTTAGTGCCTCCTTTTGATAATTACTTAAGTGACGCCAAAAGATACACAGCAACACTCTACTGTGTATCTAACCTTACTTTGCGTTGGTCTCCATGTGAAGATCGTGAACGTCGCCACATGAAAGACTGATTAAAAAAATAGAGGCTCATGGTATTGGGGGTGCTATATTAAGTTGGATTAGGGCATGGCTATTCCAAAGGAAACAGAGAATTAGTATAAATGGGGTTAAGTCAGAGTGGGATAATGCTGTTAGTGGAGTACCTCAGGGCTCTGTCCTGGGACCTCTGTTGTTTATAATATATATAAATGATTTAGATTCAGGTTTGAGTAGCAACATTTGCAAATTTGCAGATGATACAAAAATCGGCAGGGAAATTAACACGGAAGAAGACTCACTATCACTTCAAGCTGATCTAAATTGGGTTTTGAAATGGTCAAAAGATTGGCAGATGCAGTTTAATGCTGATAAATGTAAAGTTCTGAGGCTAGGTAATGATGATAGAGTTACAAGATACGAGCTAGATGGTGTTG